GAAGGGTTGACATGAGCATTATAATCTGCACACCAGGAGGAGATGCAATTAAGTTCACTCTGCATTGACTTGGCAATCTCTTGACGATCTCTTCCATGTCGATATACTAAGAGGTCATCAGCAAATGACAAGGTCCTGCCACTCCCATGCAACTGCTGCTCAGTTATCAGCACTGTGTACACGTTGAATAGAACTGGAGACAGCGAGAACCTTGAAGCAATCCTGGGCTGATGGTTATCGGTTATGAGGAGCCAGGCTCTCTAGTGTAGTTGGCTAAACCGGATTGCGCGGTGACCGGGTGACGAACTCCTTGTGGTCCGGGTTCACTCCCGGGGGTAGGCAGAAAAGCCACATTTCTCCCAGATTTACGGTATTTACAATGGAATCAAGGCCGAAAGGTTGCGATATCCATAATACCGAGCCTAAGGGTTAACAACTCATGACTTCTGGATACTAAAACAAACAAACAAACATCCGTTATGAGGAACAACAACCACACCTGGGTATCACCCGTCTTTAAAACAGTGCTGCGGCTACCCAGCGAGTCATGAAGGAAGATACTTGCACTTGGAGAAGTATGTGCACCAAGTATTCAAATGGTACATTGTTGTACGCATCCTCTAAGTCTAGTGCAGCTGCACATGTCTCTTCTCTCATCTGAAAATATATACTTTCTGTCACTCTCAACGAATCCAATCAATACCTTCTTTCCCTTTATTCTAGTAAAAAACCTTGACCTTACACAAGTCTAGTTTCATATCGATCTATTTGATCTGTTTTTTCCCCTTCAAATTTTGACTATATAATATACTTTCAGCCCCCACCCCTGCCCCCATTTTTCCCCTTTGCCAACTCAACCAGTGCCCCTAGTTTTCTTTAATCTACTTCGTAACCTCAAAACTACCTCCCATACTGCCCGCCTCCGCTCATCGCCACGCCTGATCAATAATCAGACACACTGAAAAGTCTTATATACTGTACGAAGTGAACAAAAGGGCAGGTTCCAGAGATCACTGAAAAGTATTATATACTGTACGAAGCGAACAAAAGGGCAGGTTCCAGAGATCACTGAAAAGTCTTATATACTGTACGAAGTGAACAAAAGGGCAGGTTCCAGAGATCACTGAAAAGTCTTATATACTGTACGAAGTGAACAAAAGGGCAGGTTCCAGAGATCACTGAAAAGTCTTATATACTGTACGAAGTGAACAAAAGGGCAGGTTCCAGAGATCACTGAAAAGTCTTATATACTGTACGAAGTGAACAAAAGGGCAGGTTCCAGAGATCACTGAAAAGTCTTATATACTGTACGAAGTGAACAAAAGGGCAGGTTCCAGAGATCACTGAAAAGTCTTATATACTGTACGAAGCGAACAAAAGGGCAGGTTCCAGAGATCACTGAAAAGTCTTATATACTGTACGAAGCGAACAAAAGGGCAGGTTCCAGAGATCACTGAAAAGTCTTAAATACTGTACGAAGTGAACAAAAGGGCAGGTTCCAGAGATCACTGAAAAGTCTTATATACTGTACGAAGCGAACAAAAGGGCAGGTTCCAGAGATCACTGAAAAGTCTTATATACTGTACGAAGCGAACAAAAGGGCAGGTTCCAGAGATCACTGAAAAGTATTATATACTGTACGAAGTGAACAAAAGGGCAGGTTCCAGAGATCACTGAAAAGTATTATATACTGTACGAAGTGAACAAAAGGGCAGGTTCCAGAGATCACTGAAAAGTATTATATACTGTACGAAGTGAACAAAAGGGCAGGTTCCAGAGATCACTGAAAAGTATTATATACTGTACGAAGTGAACAAAAGGGCAGGTTCCAGAGATCACTGAAAAGTATTATATACTGTACGAAGTGAACAAAAGGGCAGGTTCCAGAGATCACTGAAAAGTCTTATATACTGTACGAAACAAACAAAAGGGCAGGTTCCAGAGATCTTTTTCTCGTTGACGCTGCAATACATTCCATAAGAAGCATTTAAAAAAAAAAAAAAAAGAAGGATGGCATGAGCGGAACTGCATTTCATCAATGATTTAGAATTGATTGCAGGGGATAGAACAGAATCATAATGGAGGAATAGGTTGCGAGCATATGTGACATTTAATTACGCATCAGAACAATGATTGAATGTTGAATTTAGAATCGATATCACAACACTCAGGACACCATCATAAGCGCTTCGTCCCCATCTTCAACAGCAAGCAAAGAGTTAAAATTCCGGCAACTGTCTGAGGGTCGAGCGTCGACCAGATCCCCTTGTAACTCTTCAAAGTGCCATTCTCCTCAGACCGTAATGATTTATTTGTTCCTCGGCTCTGTTCACTCGCTCCCAAAGGGCCCTCACAATATCCAGCTTGTCATCATCAAAATAGCACAAAAAGTCTATCAGCTTGCAAAAATTCAGCACTTTCTAGACTAAGATGCAAGAAAAGTATTTTACGCGTCTTACATCCAAACACATGTCGACTATTGTTCCACAGTTTGGGATGGTTGCGCCAAATCCAATGTTAAAAGACTAAGTTCTCTTCAAAATCGTGCTTTACGACTGGTTTTAGATAATAAACATATCGTAAAAAATAATCTCTATAACCATCTAAGACTATTGCCATTTAGCAAACGTTTAATTTTTAACAAGGCCAAATTTATTCATAAAATTGTATCTCAAAATACTCCAAACTACCTTTTCCGATTAATTAAATCAAATCCTATAAATAGCAAGCGACTAAATTTATTACATTTACCTAAACCTAGAATAGATTTATATAAAACAAGTTTAGCGTACTCCGCTGCTCATTTGTGGAACCAACTTCCACTAGACCTGAAAAATTCTAAAAGTCCCTATTCATTTAACCGTAAACTTTTTCTATTCATACTTACAAGCGATTATATGCCACCTTGAATGTAATGTAACCCATATTGCATTATCAATTTATTATTAAACAAGGTGTGTATGATATGTATGTTTGCGCGCGCCCGTGTGCTTGATATGTATGTATGTGTAGGCGTGTTTGTATACATATGACTCTGAGTAAGTTGTTTGTCTGCTTGTGTATCTGGGTGTGTGTCTGCGTCTGTGTCCTTGTGTATGTGCGAATGTGTGTGTGTTCGCGCGTTTGTCCACGTGTATGTTTCAGTGTGAACTGGTTTCTGTGTGTTTAAGTGTGCCTCTTTGCTGTGTATGTGTGTCTGCATGTGTGTGTGCGATTGGATACATGTAGCTGTGAATATGTGTCTGTGTGTGTCTCTGTGTTTGTCTGCATGTGTGTGTGTCTCTGTGTTTTTCTGCATATTTGATGTGACTGTGTGTATATCTTCGTTTGTGTCAGTGTGTGTCCCCGTATGGGTTTGTCTTCATGTTTGCCTGTGTATGTTTATGTGTTTTGTCTGCGGGTGTGTCTATGAGGCTGTATGTATGTATCTCTGTGTGTGGGTGTCTGTATGTCTGTCTGCGTGAGTGTATGTGTCAGCATGTGTCTGTCTGTCTGTGCATGTCTATGCGTGTTACTCTGTGTGTGTTGTGTGTGCCCCTTTGTTGTCTGTATGTGTCTGCATGTCAGAGTATATGTCTTTGCGTGCTGAATATATGTGTCTGCGTGTGTATTTCTATGTGTTTGAATGATTATGCATTTCTGCGTGTTTGTCTCTGTGGGTGTCAGTATGTGTTTGTCTGCCTGTTTGTCTGTATTTGTGTGTGTGTGTGTGTGTTTGACTGCGTGTGTGTCTATGTGGCTGTATGTATGTGTCTGCATGTTTGTCTGCGTATGTGTGGTGTGTGTGTCAGTGTGTGAGCACGAATGTAAATATGTGTGCTGTGTGTTTATATGTAAGTGCCTGTGTGTGTGTCTGTATTTTTGTCTGAGTGTGTGTGTGTTTCTGTGTTTCTGTGGGAGTGTCCGTGTGTGCATGTGTGTGTCTCCATGCATGACTGTATTTATGAGTGTATCCCTGTATTACGTATGAATGTATGTTTGTATCTATGTATGTATGTTTGTGTGTACGTATGCCTGTGTGTATGCATGTTTGTTTGTATGTCTCTGTGTATGTATGTATGTAATGTATGCATGCATGTTTGTGTGTGTAAGTGAGTGGGTGAGCGTGTGTATGTGGGTGTATGTATGCACGCGCGGGTTTTTGCATGCACTTTACAACTCATGCTTTTGTGTTCTTTTATAATATTCATAATATGCATAACATCATATGATCATAACATGCTTTATTAGTAAAATACAACTGCTGTGCGAAAGATGGTTGACTGGAAGGGCCGAATGTAAGACGGGCCTGCGTGCCCAATTTGTGACCCTTTGAAAATAAAGTTCGTTCATTCGTTCGTTCGTTCGTTCGTTCAGTTTACCATCAAGTGGTGCAGAACCGGCCAGTCTATCAGTCTGCTCATTTCCCAACACATCCGGGACTTCTGGAGCGATGCTTGCCACTCTGCACGAAGCATGCCTATCTCCACCTCTCTCAGCATGCTCTGTGAGTCAGTTACAATGATGATGGTGCCACTAATAGTCAGTCCACCCATTCGTTTTTAAGGAAACAAATCATCACGTTCATCCAGCAGCTCAGAAGGCGAAGCTTTAGGTCATAATTGTGACAGTTTATTTGCGCCACTTAAAATAGCTTGCAATGCTCGCCACCAAGTAGCCTTGAATACAAATAGTGTTGATGCGATCAAAGGAGACAGACCCAAATACAGTCCCGAATCAACCTTACTCTGCTAGTAGTTGTATTATTTTTTAATAATTTTAAAAAATTTGACTAAACGACTAAAACACTTCTGGCGTTTTGCGGAGATGAAAAAAAAAAGAAACAACAAAAAACAATAATAAAAGTTAAATAAAAAGGGAAGAAAGTTTATAGTGTCAAGGAAGGCTGAACTGACAAGGGCTTATTAATATGGGGTTTAGTTAAAATTTATATATTGTAAAGTAACTTGTAATGTTGTTTTTTTCACCAGCTCTTGTGTAAATGGAGGTAACATTATTAAATGTCGGAAATGAGTTCCTGTTTCGGTTTCGACAACCAGCAGTTGAAAATTTCCAAAATGGGAGAAGAAGGCTCAGGGCGATACGAAAAAATAGACTATTTAGGAGAAGGGCAGGTGAGTAAATCTTATTGTTAACATGTTGTCATTATGCAGTACTGCAGTCTGTTTAATTAAAAGCATAGCCGCCTTATATTTTATTTTTGGGAACATTGATTTTATTTTTATGTCCCTGAAATGTGAACATCTCCGCTTACTACTACTAAGCGGCTTAGATTTAGAATTGAAATAAATATAACTGTTATAACATAAGGAAGGCTTCATTGAGTACCGTGGCTCTCCTTTGAATCAACCCCCAAAATCGCGGCATGCCACATTCTGGCCGCGATTTGTTCCTTGGCAGAAAGTCCGTATTTTAGATATACGCGAACACCGTCGTTCGGATATTTTTGGATATTTTATGGCCAGAATGTGGCATGCCGCCATTTTGGGGTTTGATTCAAAGGAGAGCCCTAGGATTACTTGACAATCAATATCAACATTTGCACACGGTAGTAGCAGACGATAAATACTGACTGTTGACAACAATTTAAAGCGTTTCCGCAGACGATACTAGCAGACGATATTAGTGACCGTTGACCAATTTCGAGACATTACAGACGATGAAAGCCGATTAGCAATACTGTGTTTTTCCGATTGGGGGATTTAGCAGCGGTAGATGTCAGACTTATCGGCATGCGCCAAACGCGATTAAACTCATCGCAGAGCGTATCCCTCGCGCCGCTACGCGGATGGGGGCTAAACTAGGTGCCTGGGACTCACGAGTACATTAATTGGAGAAAGTTGCAGGAGATGCGGTAGCTGCCACTCGTGAGTCCCAGCCATCTAGTTTAGTCCCTATCCGGTCGCTAGTATCGTCTGCAGAAACGCTCAAAATTGTCGCCATTATCATCTGCTACTAACGTCTGCAGTGTTGTGTGTCTGGAAATTGTCAAGTAATCCTAGTTTTGCCGTGATTTGTTTCTCGCAGAAAGTCCGCATTACACACGACTGAGGCCCTGTTAGGGTATTTGTTTGGCCGCCATAACATCAAGTAGAAGTTTGGAGGAGAGCTGTTTTAAGAATTAACATTGAATGGGGATACATACAAAATATGTGAAATATGCCGTGGTTCATAACTTGTGGCATTTTTCACTATTTGTATTCAGTTAGCTACTACGGCCGCACAGCACCATATATTTTAGGAATTTAGTTTTAAGACATTGATCCACAACTTGACTAGTTCAACCTGTCAGAATACGAATACACATTGAAATGAACGCAGATTTAAATTGTAAAATAATTAACCTTCAATGGGAATGAATAACATATAAAAATATATTAAATTGCTGAGGTCTCTTACAGCTTGTGGCATCATTTGCCTCTAGAGCAATGCTGAGCTGTACCATGAGATTTGAGAAAGTTTTCTGAGCTTTTTCATAAACTCTGCAAGATGAAACTTTCCACATTTAAATTGGGGAAAAGGGGGGGGGGGGGGGGGGGGAGGGAATTGGGAGAAAGCAGTGGGTCTTTTCTTTATTCTCCAAACTGGAGTCTCAGAACATACACATGGAAATGGGGTTTCAAGCATATGATTATCAAGCAAGCTTTCTAGGCATCCTGCTACCATGGCTCCCAACAAATGTACGTAGCATAACTAAAGGTCCCTAGTTGGGCATCATGGATGTGACGCTAGAATCATATTTTCATACACTAATGGGCACGCACTCAAAAGGTGATACATTTATCATCTTAGACCACTTCAAGGACATTGCCTGGTTCTCATTATAGCAGGTCTATTTTAAAAATGGGGATCGTCACTGGCCAGAGTTCCGATTTACAGCATAGAAAGATCTTTAACACGATACCACTGGTAATGATCCACAGGTCACTTGCTAGGCCTGGGTTGGTGAAATCTGTCCAGCAGACCACTTGAATAGCCCTGCATTGTAGGTTGGGTTGATCCGGAAGCCAGCTTACAAATATAGCTCACTCATAACTAATTGTAAAAGCTCATGAAACAATATTTTCTCAGAAATTACACAATTTAGAGAGATGCTTTGTTATAAGCATGATGTGTCATTTGTCTATAGAGAGTCCTGACAAAGTTTTGATGCTGTCGTTATTTTATTGAACAAGAAATTGGAAATTTTCCAAAATAATTCACTTATTATTTTATCTTCAGTTTGCCACAGTTTACAAAGCAAGAGACAAAAATACTGACACAATTGTTGCAGTCAAAAAGGTGTGTATGTATTCTTCTTCTCCCCTCCTTCTTTTTCTTCTGTGTTTGCCCTTATTAGGGTGATTGATTCATGGTGTGGTTTACAGCTAGACTGCAGTATCTGTGCTGTTTGGTCTACTACATCTAGTTTTAGCAAACTTTTAATTAGTCACCGTTTAATTTATGCTTGTTAACTCTTTGAGTCCCAAGGAACACATCATATGTCTCTAGGTTCCTACCTAGAAGCCCAATGAACGCATGATGCGCCGATTTTATTGCATTCTTTACTACCCCCTGGGCCTGTGATGCTAAACCCTCTGGGACTCAAAGAGTTAAGGAGCAGTGGGTCTTTTCCTTTTCTCCCTTTAACTCTTTCAGTCCCACACAAGGCCTGGTGTGAGTGACTTTGTATTATCCCCCGTAGCATAATGTATTCTCTTACTTTTAACATTAGGGGGCTGCGTGGTCTCGAGGCATGGTGTCCTTCTTTAGTGCTAGAGATTCCAGGTTCAATCCTTGGTAAGGGCTGGGATTTTTTCACGTGGACTTGGACATCTAGTAATTCCCCCTGGTCTCTGGGTAATGAGATTGGACGCTCATGTGCATTTTTGTGCACATAAAAAATCCCTTGGCAGTTGGAAATCAAAAAAGAGTAGCCTGGTCAAAATTTGGAGTTAAAAATCTACCCAAAGTATTTCAGGATCCTCGCTGGTGCTACAGAGCCTGTGCACTGTGCTGATCTTTTTCGGACTTGGACTTGAGTTAGAAGATGAACGGAGCACTTATGGGTTACTTCCAGAGTGCCATGATGTTGATCCCTTGTTCAAATTTCTTACTTTTATTTTTATCATTTAGGCAGAATATACTAAAGAAAAGACACATAGTTTCTCAAATAGTAATAACCACTGTATATTGCCATTCAAAAAAATAATGCATGCATACTTTTTCATCATGGTTATTTCTTCAATTTGCATCTTCCATGACACCTTCTGGTGCTGGAGCAGTTAAATGGGATCTCAGAATCGACATGGGAAGAATGTATTCATCATGAAGACTTAACACATAACCTTTCTCCATCTTTCGGTTTAACTGCTGCTGTTTTTGAGATCCTTGCACCTTATGAGTTACAAATTGTCATAGAGTGTTCATTACGGGTAACCCTTTTTTGTTGGGTTTATCTTTTATGATTTCCACTTACTTATTGAATAGTTTTTATTGCAATATTTATGTGATCCACAGTATACATCATTTTTGTTTTGTTTTTCCAGATTAAATTAGGCTCTCGCACAGAAGCAGCAGACGGCATCAACAGAACAGCACTTAGAGAAATCAAATTGTTACAAGAATTAGCACATGACAATATTATAGGAGTGAGTATCAGTATTCTCTGTACTCTTCATCTGTATACTCAGTATTCTTCATTAGATCTTCTTCTTCTTTTCATTCTCCCTGCCACTGGTTTTTAGATGAAAAAGTCACATGCCTCTGAGAAGTTTGTGTTGAGACACAAGAGTTCTTCCACTAATCCACACAGCTTGGTTTCCATTGGAATGCCAAATGACCAAACATGGGATCTCTATACTGCATGTCTGTAGCGCTTTCCATGATTATGTGGTGCCTGTTCACATGGGCACAGTGTTGAACCCCTGATCTGGAATCTCTTGTACATATGGCTAGAGTCTGATATGTCTAGTATGCAGTGTAAATTTAATTGTCTATTTCTTTCATGTTAAGGGGTTGACTGGGTCTTCAGGGTTGTCTCCTCATTAGATGTGTTGTGTATCTTGCCTTTGCTTTAGCTGATGTCAAAATCTTTCTGTTCCTTGTTTGTCTTTACAATTGTCCTGTTGGTTTATTTGCATTACGAGCTGTGTGACATTCTCAGCTGTTATTTGTTTCTTAGTTTCTGTTTATTAGCTCTTTCAGTACCGGGAAACGCACCATACATTTATTTATTACTAGCATAATTTCTCAACTACTTTTGACCAGATCTAAAAAATTCCATTCTTTTCCGACCATTACTTTATCTCCTTGTGTTCCATACAGGCCTTAGTTGAATATGTAATGACTCAAGGATTGTCATTCTAATGTATATCAGCCTTGACTAGACAGAGTTGAAGTAGCAACTATCTGGAACTGAATTAATTAACTGATGTCTGTGCAGAATAGGGGGAATTAAATGATATGATACCCCTGTGTGGGTTCCAAGGCCCCATTGAGGGGAAAAAGCAAGAATAGACCCACTGCCTCCTTAACAAGCATGTCCTACAAGTCAACTAATTAGGGGATTCAGAGTGTATCCATCTGAGAGAACCAACGGTCTGTATACAAATTAACCAGATGTGTAGAGTAGATGTGCATGCAAAAACTCAAGTTCTGGAACAAGACTAAAATCCAGAAGTGGGCGAACAACCATAACTTTCCACCGGAGTTTACAGCCGGGGAACTTTAAAAAAAAAAATTATTTAAAAAAAAACATAAAAATTATATGACCTAATTCTTTGTGTCGAGCTTTGATAAAGAACTAAACAAATTCCAGTGAATCAAGAGGTGAAGAAAAGATGCTGGTATTGGCAAGGATACATACTGAGAAAACCTGATAACTTGTTCTTGCTCTGGTGCCCACATTGTCAAAGGAATAAAGGTAGACTGCAATAACACATAGAGAATTATAGGAAGAGATGAATTATATTGGATGAGCTGCACTGAATAGCAATGGATATATAATGATGTGGAATTAAAGATAGAAGATGTTTCCTTTTAAATATCTTATTCTTTGTTGTCTATTTCCGTTTTTTGGTCATCCTCTCTGTTTTTGTGCAGTTTAAAAAATATATATATATATAAAACATGTACACATTTATGTGTAATTCTTTCCAACTTTGCAGTTATTTCTATATGACGTATATTATTTTGTTGTTGTTGTCATTTTAAATTAAAAACAGCAGATGAACTAAGAAAGATTAGCACTGTAAAATAATTAAATATGAGCAGAAGTGCAGAATGATTGTTGATAGAATCCAGCTAAAAAAAATTTTGAAAACATTTTAGAATTCCTGCAGCTTATTTTAAAACCTATAACACAAAATATTATATAATAGTTCCAGAATGTGGATTTAAAATGTTTATCTTATCTTCAGCATTCCGAGGCCTTGAATTTCATTGCTGCAGATATCTTGCACCTCCATTCATCTCTTTGATCGGTCTGCACTTCCTAAATAGTGACAAGTATTTACAGGTTTCTCTGTCTATATTATGTCTCCCACTGTCTTGGTCTGCATTGTGGTCTACTGCCGTTCAAAATTTACAATTAAGCAATACAAATCCTTCAAGTAATTTTTTTTGTTTGTTTGTTTTTTTTTGTTAATAAATAAAATAATGACTATTTTAAAAAAAAAAAAAAAAAGGATACTAATTTTATCAGCCAGAAGTATCAGTTGTATTAATCATCATGTAGTAAGGTCAAGTGTTGGGTGTCTGAGAAGAATCTTTTTCTTCTTTTTTCACCAGCTGTAAGCTCTGATGGAAAGTCCTGGTTGTTTGTCCTTTTGGACTTTGGCTTTGTGCCAGGGTCTGAGTTTTGCATGTACATCCATTTCCATTTTACTGGCTTATTTGTATGCAGTTCATTGTTCCTTGCCACTTAGGCAGATGGACTCCATCTTCGAAGGAAGCCCCCAATTAGTCAACTCTTATGACATATGCTTGTTGGGGAGGTAGTGGGTATGTTCTTCTTTTCCCCACAATAGGGCCACAGAACCCACATGGCGATGAGAAGTATCATGTCACATACAAGTGATGGCAACAATAGTCCTAAAATCCCATTCACATAATTGTAAAAGATTATTTTTAACATGATCAATCACACTAACCACCACCGTCTGCTGTAATTCTCATGCCTGCCTATAGCACAATGAAACACAGTCATCTGGAAAGTCGGAGAGGTGCCAGCAAACAAATCCTGTGCAGAATGATAGTCTGGTCACATTTTATCATTTTCAGTAATCAGCTAATTGCTGTTCCAACTTCATATCAAATGGGCCACCCTAAAGTTGCTTCATCCCTGTGCCAATGAAAACTTCACAGGGTGTCCATCACTGTCCCTTGTGGGGAAAAAAATGCCGACTCCAGTCTCAGCAAATCCAGTAGCAAATTCACACATTAAATACATAAGGCAGCCACCAGAAGTGCCGACACTAGACATTCAGTTCGTTGTTAATAGAAGCAGCAGGTACAACAGAGCAGCCAGTGGTTGCATATGCAGTTAATTGCATAAGGCAGCCACCAGTTCTGTGGTAACAGGTCACTTGCCATTTTCTGAATCTGCAGTTCATAACACAAACAATGTTAGCCACTGTCAGAAAGCATTTAAAATGAAATCTGCAGCTCACAGATTGCACCATGCACTCAGCTCAGTAGCTGGGCGACAGAAACTGTCTACTTTAGTCTGTATATGGAGGGAAATGCAACAGTTATTGTCAGAAGCAAAGGCTTGTCACGACTAAAACAGTAATGCCACCTATCAGCCATATTGTCCGGAAGCTAGCATTTTCAGTGTTTGGGGCTAAACAGTTCAAAGTAAATTTACTTTTATATAAACATATTCGGAACTTTGGAAAGTGCAGTTTTACTTCTTAAGCATCTTTTTATCATTGGTTAAATTGTAATTTTAAATTAAAATTTATTTACTTCAGCTCATTGATGTTTTTGGTCACAAATCAAATGTCAGTCTGGTGTTTGACTTCATGGAAACTGATTTGGAGGTAAGATTGTTGGCTAAGCATTTATTTAAATGCAGTAACACCATAACACCCCACACATTTAAATGTTTGCTTTTTTTTTTTTTGGAGACAGTTTGCATGTGTATTTCTGTTGCGTATGACTCATGTAAAATACTGACATTTTATGTGATTGTTTAATCTTACTGAAATTGTATGTTGTTATCCAAGTTGTTGAGATGATATTTTGTAAGAGATTACAATAATTATAACAGTGAGGTTGAACAGGGTATGTGGAATAAGTTCTGTTAGAATGGCATCCAGGATGCAGACCTTAAAGTTGTAGGGATATCAGACTTTCAGGTAGGAACCTGGAGGGTAAAAAATGGTCAGTCAGGAATATTAAAAGAGGCTCATCACACTGTGAAAGTGGCTGTTGGTAGTTCCAGGTTTAATTAATCTATCCAGATAGGAATAGTAATGAAAACATAACTTGATGGGAAAGAGCATGACACACATTGCTTGTGCTGAAAGAGTTACTGAGATGTAAACGTTGCCTTGTAATACACCTTCTCAGCTTACGACCATCTGCACTTATGACAACAACAAAATAGTAAATAGTAAAGAAAGATGACAACATTGGTAGGGCTGAAAAGTTCCCAGAACTCGTGCAGTACAATACATATTATGTATTGTTCACATTATGTACCATAATTATACGAACATAGATAAGCCTGGCTCGCTAGCGTAGTTGGTTAAACCTGACTTCGCGGCGACCGGGTGACGAATTCCTTGTGGTCCGGGTTTACGCCTGGGGGTAGGCAGAAAAGCCACATTTCTCACAGATTTACGGTTTCTATCATAGAATCAAGGCTGAAGGGTTGGATATCCATAATACTGAGCCAAAGAGTTAACAACTCATGGTTTCTGGATACTTGAAAAAAAATGAACATAGGTTGAATGTTCATGTTTTACGAACAATATTTTAAACGCATTTAAATGAAAATCATGTTGAAAATATTAATTCTACTAATGACCTGTTAGTCTGAACGGAACTTGGTCGTAAGCCGAGAAAACTCTGTCTGTTGAATGCTGATTTTGTTATTCTTTTCTGGCAACAGGTGGTGATCAGAGATAACAACATTGTCATGACTGCAGCACATATCAAATCCTACACCCTGCAGACCTTGCTTGGCTTAGAGTACTTACACGCACACTGGATTCTCCATAGGGTCAGTATCCTCTTCCTCTTCTTGGCATATACCAGCATAAAACTCAAGTGGAAGGTTCTGCATGTTCATCCTCTTCTGGACTTAAGTTCCAGAACTTGAGTTTTGCATGCACATCCGTTTTAAAGATCTGGCATTTTTTTATGCAGACTTTTTCATTGCCTATCAGACAGATACACACCAACTTTGAAGGAAAAACCCATAATTAGTTGACTTTTTTGACATGCTTTTTAAGGTGCAGTGGGCATGTTCCCCCCCCCCCCCCCCCCCCCTCCTTTCCCTTTCCCCAATAATGGGATCCCTAACACCATGTACACATAATATATTGTGGAAACAGGACCCAAAAAAAAGACAAAAATTACAAAATCTTTTAGGACTGTTTTCATGTATATATCTGTATATATCAGACATCAGTCCATATGGACCATGGAGTTGTGCCGTTGTTTTGGAAACTATGTCTTCTATAAATAAAGTCCTGTGTGGAAGTGACAGTATCTGTCCCAGTCTACCCCATGTCACAACAACTTTTCAGGAGGCTCAAGGCAACAGAGCTCCCAGGTTCCAGCGATTATAGTAGCCGCATGGTATTAACCACATCAGCTGTCTTGTGCCACATACAAATATCATGCTAGCAAGATGTGCTTTGTGTCATGGAAGTGTGATCTTTTCTTTTTATCAGATATTCAAAACAGGATGTTGAAAACTGCCATTTATTTTATTACACTGGCTGTCTTATTTCCTGCTCTTCCCTTTTCTAGTCCAAATAAATGTGTGCCCATATAGCAAGTAAGTAATGATGTTAATGATAAAGATGTAAGAGTAAACTTGATGAAGATGAAAATGTGAGAAAATGTAATGACTTCTTTTTTTTTTAAGGATATGAAGCCAAATAACTTGCTTATCAACGAGCAGGGTGTACTAAAGATTGGTGACTTTGGTTTGGCCAGGTTTTTTGGCTCTCCAAGTAGACCATATTCTCACCAGGTTGTAACAAGGTATGTGTTCATAATATTGGTTGTTATTAGTTACTTATTATTGATGTTAGCTGTCTTTAGTTGCACACTTTTGTTTTGTCAATTTTTTTACTTGAAATACTGGTGCATTACTTATTTACCTTGGAGCTGCCATGGTGTAGTGGTTAGACGCTCACCTGTGGATCGAAAGGTTGTGGGTTCATGTCCTGACAGACTCGGGACTTTTTTTAACTAAAAAAATGTTTACTTTAAAAAAAAATTACCGTGGCTCCTTGGTCAACCCAGCCCTGATTGGGTACAGGTATAGTCTTGGGAAGTAAAGGCAGGTGGCATGATATTGACCACATCAACCAACAAGTGCCGATCGGTCTATAAAATATTGGTCTAGCTCTATATGTCCAATACGCCTGAAGGTGCGGGAAAGGGTCCTTTATTTACTTATTTATCTGTCATTCTCATTTAAGCATTCTTCTTTCACCCTTGAATATAGTTGTTGTTATGTTGTTGTTGTTATTGATCCAGCGGCGCATGAGCTTTCACCCCTTTGGCCCAATGCCATGTAGTGGGATTTACATGTTTTCACAAGCTGTTCTTTTCCTCCGTACAAGGTGTTCCACCTGTCTGGTCTCGGAGGGAGTAGCATTCTTCTAGTCTCGTTGAGTTTTGAATATATGAAAGGGTCATATTTTAAAATGTAAAGTTTTAACTTTGATAGTCAGTGCTTTTCATCGAGTCTGCTGTCACTACACCATGAACATGATAGAAACTGTTGGTCTTCATAGATTCCTCAATTATTTTATGTAAGGTTGTTCTCGTGAGCTATCTTTTTTTGTTTTTCTATGGTAAAATCAGAATTGACTTCTATGAAATGCTCTAATGTTTGCTTTGGTGCTTCACACTACAATATCATAACTATGTCACCTTGCGAGTGCAGTATCTTAGCGTATTGAGTTTTTTAACGGCATGATGTTTTTGGGCAGTGGTAATTATGCCTGTATGTCCATCGTCTCCTTGTACTCAGCTACAATTAGTGGGCTGCATGGTTTTGAGGCATGGTGTCTGCCTTGAGTGCTAGAGGTTTGGGGTTCAATCCCCGACAAGGGCTGGGATTTTGTCACGTGGACTTGGACTTCTACTTATTCCCCTGGGTCTCTGGGTAGTGAAATCAGACGCCAATGTGTGTTGCTGGGCAACTAAAAAAATCCCTTGGCAGTTAAAAATTGAAAAGAGTAGCCTAATGACGCTTACCTGGCAAAAATCCATCTATGAATGAATTCAATCCAAGCAACATAGTTGCATATCTTATCTGTGAATGAATTCAGTCCAAGCAACATAATTGCATATCCTATCTATTAATGAATTCAGTCAAAGCAACATGGTTGCATATCTTATCTATGAATGAATTCAGTCCAAGCAACATAATTGCATATTCTATCTATGAATGAATTCAGTCAAAGCAACATAGTTGCATATCCTATCTATGAATGAATTCAGTGCAAGCAACATAGTTGCATATCTTATTTATGAATGAATTCAGTCCAAGCAACATAGTTGCATATCTTATCTGTGAATGAATTCAGTCCAACAACATAATTGCATATCTTATCTGTAAATGAATTCAGTCCAAGCAACATAGTTGCATATCTTATTTGTGAATGAATTCAGTCCAAGCAACATAGTTGCATATCTTATCTGTGAATGAATTCAGTCCAACAACATAATTGCATATCTTATCTGTAAATGAATTCAGTCCAAGCAACATAGTTGCATATCTTATTTGTGAATGAATCCAGTCCAAACAATATAGTTGCATATCTTATCTATGAATGAATTCAGTCCACGCAACATAGTTGTGTATCTTATCTATGAATGAATTCAGTCCAGGCAATATAGTTGCATAACTTATCTATGAATGAATTCAATTCAAGAAACATGACTGTATATCTTATCTATAAATTCAATCCAAACATCATAGTTGCATATCTTTTCAATGAATGAATTAAGTCTAGGCAACACAGTTGTCTATCTTATCTACATAATTTAGTCTACTAATGCTTTTAGCGATTTATTGCTTTGACATGTACACAGTATTTTTATGTGATTTATATAGTTTGATCTTGTTTATTATTTAGGTGGTACCGAAGTCCGGAACTCCTCTACGGCGCTCGTTCTTACGGGGACGGTGTAGATATATGGGCAATAGGATGTATTGTTGCGGAGCTCCTTATAAGGGTACTGTTGTACATTTTAAACAGTTACTAATAATAAAAATCATGTATTCTTATATATATATATATATATATATATATATATATATATATATATATATATATATATATATATATATATATATATATATATATATATATATATATATATATATATGGGCAAGAGCATAAACAGTTCCATATACATTATCAGGGTAGTATTAGAAAAACGGTTGCTTCATGGACTGCACAAAAGTAATGTCAGGGTGAAGTGAAACATTAGGAAGTAATAAGAATGCTAGAGTAATTAAATACTGAATGCAAAGATCTGAAAATATAAATAACATGGGTTTTTTTAAAACCAGCTAATACAGTTATAAGAATTAGCAGTGATTTGTGAACATTTCAGTGCATGACAGAAGATGTCAGAATAGAATATATATTCTCTCCTGGTTTGTTTTCATTTAACGGTAAACATATAATGAGATATGTGGAAAATAGACAGAGGAATACAGTTAGTAGTCAATTATATAGATAATAGTGTTTTGCTAATGACACTGTCTTGATAGCAACAAGTTACAAAGAAATATAAGAAATATAGAAAAGTGTAGGTGTAGGGGTAGTAGAAATTACATAAATAGAACCTCATTATATTTAATAGAAAGGGGAAAGTAAAGGAAATATCAGATGAATGGATTCTGCCTAAATATACAGGTAAAGTGAAAAGTATTAATTTGAGGGAAGTGAACAAATTCATCTCTGCTGTTACTACAATTACTGTTCCTCTTTTTATAGAGTGTATATATACAGTGTAGTGTATTGTCATATACACACAGTTATTGTGTATGTGAAATGGGTACTACTCACGAAAGTCACCCCATCTCATAGACGAAAAAGATTTCATAGCAGTTCCCATGTGCTGTATATTGTAGGGGTATTATGAGATGCCTTCCTTCACCATCTATACACAGCCTGCCGAAAAGTGGCTAAGGTTCATTCAATGAAGTCAACACACTGTCTCCCAAACAAAGCTGCACAGCTTTTTCTTTACAACTCTCTTTTATGTATAATACTGTTGTTTCTGGAATGTGTTCTTGTTATGATTAGGTCTCAGGTGCTGTTGGTGCCTGTATGCAAGTAATATGTACTGCAGGGGGGAAGCTCTGAAGGCATGGCGGTTCATGAGTATCGAATCATTGATTGGGCGGGGGTGGGGGGGGGGGGTATTTTTACGCTCGTTGGTTGTGGATGTGCTTAAAATAGTCAAAACGAGGAAGACCTGATAGCCCAAGACTATAGGAGTGTCTGGAAAATCCCCTACAAAATAATGTGGCTAACAACATGGGTTGACTTACTTGAGTTGTACTGTGAAAAGTTTACAGAGCTCATAATCTCATAAAATATATTATATTTATTAACAGGTTCCATTTTTACCTGGTGAAACAGATTTAGATCAACTGAAACGAATTTTTCAAGTGTTAGGCAGCCCAACTGAAGCTGACTGGCCGGTAAGACATTGTTTACACACAAGCATGCATGCATGAATATATCCACTCATGTACACACACACATATGTACATACACACATTTGTACATATGTACGTACATATGTAAACACATACATTCATACCTGACGTACATACATTTGATGTTGATACACAGACACACACAGGGTTGAGCTTAAGTACCGACATCACAGCACTCCCATAAGCACTCTGTCCCCAGCCGGCACTGAGATCCAATTTTGATGGTACTAGTAACAGTCTGATTGTATGTCTGTCTTGTCCTTCCCCTGAGTGTTGAATGTCAGCCAGATTTCCTGGTCACTTCCTGCTGCACCATTCACTTCAGACTGTCATTATATGTTTGTGTTTGCACACTGGTCATTTATTCCCCAATGGGCATGATAACATCTACCTTCTGGTGCAGAACCAGCCAATCTGTCTACCCGTTCATTTCCCAACACACCTTTATTCCCTTGAGAAACTATCCTGGTTCCCACCGTGGCAGTAAAGAGAGAGAATTCACTGAAATGTCTTGGTATAACTTTTGACAGGAGCCTGTTGTGGAGTACAATATGGAGGTAGCGTTTAAGATAAAGAAAGGACTCAGTGCGTTGAAAGCTCTACACACTTTCCAAGCAAGTTATTATTTTGATTATGGAGTATTGTTTGGGCCTGCTGACATTATCTAACAGCCAATTAGAGAGGTTGGAGCGCATGCAAAATTAAGCTGTGCAAGTCATTTTGGGATTTACACAGAGTCGAACTGTTAATCAGGTTGCACTTGGTACTATTAGCATATTGACTCTTTGTTGGCTACTGAAGAAGGGGATGAAGCACATGCGGGAATGTCCCGAGTGCAGGGATGTTAGTTCTTGATTCATTCATTCATTTAGGGCATTGCTATTTACCTGACTGTCATTGTGTTTATTTCCATGTAGGGCATTGCTATTTACCAGACTGTCACAGTGTTTTTATTTACCTGAAAAGCATTGCTATTTACAGACTATCATTGTGTTTATTCCCCTGTAGGGCATTGCTATTTACCAGACTGTCATTGTGTTTATTCCCCTGTAGGGCAGTGCTATTTACCAGACTGTCATTGTGTTTATTCCCCTGTAGGGCATTGCTATTTACCAGACTGTCATTGTGTTTATTCCCCTGTAGGGCAGTGCTATTTACCAGACTGTCATTGTGTTTATTCCCCTGTAGGGCATTGCTATTTACCAGACTGTCATTGTGTTTATTCCCCTGTAGGGCATTGCTATTTACCAGACTGTCATTGTGTTTATTCCCCAGTAGGGCATTGCTGTTTACCAGACTGTCATTGTGTTTATTCCCCTGTAGGGCATTGCTATTTACCAGACTGTCATTGTGTTTATTCCCCTGTAGGGCAGTGCTATTTACCAGACTGTCATTGTGTTTATTCCCCTGTAGGGCATTGCTGTTTACCAGACTGTCATTGTGTTTATTCCCCTGTAGGGCATTGCTATTTACCAGACTGTCATTGTGTTTATTCCCCTGTAGGGCATTGCTGTTTACCAGATTGTCATTGTGTTTATTCCCCTGTAGGGCATTGCTGTTTACTAGACTGTCATTGTGTTTATTCCCCTGTAGGGCATTGCTGTTTACCAGACTGTCATTGTGTTTATTCCCCTGTAGGGCATTGCTGTTTACCAGACTGTCATTGTGTTTATTTCCCTGTAGGGCATTGCTGTTTACCAGACTGTCATTGTGTTTATTCCCCTGTAGGGCATTGCTGTTTACTAGATTATTATTGTCTATACCATTGTAGGACATGAAGTATTTATCAGACTATCATTGCTTCAATACCCCTAAAGGACATAAGTATACACTGCACTATCACTGTCTCTCTACTCCCTGCAGGACATGAAATATTTACCAGACTATATAGTCTTCAAGGAGTTTCCAAGACATCCGATGAAGGAAATATTCACAGCAGCGGGGGATGACTTACTGCAAGTTTTGGACCTCATGCTTGCCATGAATCCACTAAAAAGATGTTCTGCTGCTCAGGTAAATCTTCAAAATATTTTTAAATAAATAATTTTGTTTTATCAAACGTTACATAAGGGTAATAATATAACTGGCTGATACGATTTATAAGAAATTTAGTGCTGTTAAATCAATAGCTTGAGTTACCATACCAGAAATCAAACCTGTCACCTCAAAATGATGATCTCGCCTCGCTGCAGGAATGGATTACATTTCATTTTGTGATATTTAAATAATTATTCATCCTAAAATGTCAGCCAGCAAATTATTATCATAATAATCACCATCCTCAGGTATCTTGTCGACTTTTGTGGCCGATCATGCCTGTTCAAAATCCGCAGTCCCCAACAGCATTTATCAACTCATGTACTTACACCCTCCATGCTATGGCAGAAAGTCAAGAATCTTCGTATGTTCTCTTTCACTAATCAGTACAGTCATCATCATCCTTGTGTGCCCTGCCAACTGGCATAGGCGCTCATGCATCTCTACAGTTCTCGATCCCTGGTTGCCTGGAACAGCTCTCATTTCAGCCCATCCAGCATCTTCTCTCTTGGTCTGCCTCTACCCCTCTTTCCAGGGATCTTTCTAGTTGTCATGATCTTCTCCAGTGTCTCTCTTCTCATTATGTGGCCAAAAAACAGTGTTTGACTCTTTCTTATATTCGTCCAGTGGTCACAACATATTGCAGTTTTCCCCTTCTCATAACATGCCCACAAATAATGATCAAAGGGTTGTATTTTAATGTCATTTGTACTTTCTAGGCTCTACAGATGGCCTATTTCAGCAACAAACCAGCACCGACACCTGGACCTCAACTTCCATTCCCAAAGTCGAATAAAATTGTGGATAAAGATAGAGAGGCGAAGAAGCCATCGCTGAAACGCAAACAGAATGGTGGAGATGTAGGTAAGTTGAACTCAGGGCTTTTTTAATTTTACTACACAACACTGTATCAAAATATTGTGGAACCTGTTAGTGAATGTTACATTTTTGGTGTGCATCTAATAATATTTTCATATGTACTCTGTGATGTACTCTGTGTGCACCTGATCATTCATTAAACTTATGAAATGAAGCCAAAAAAAAAGGGTTAAATTATGGCTTTTTTTTTCATTATTGAAAAGCTGGTAAATACTTCATAAGCTACAATGATATAGACACAATTCTAATGAAATTTTTTTCATTAATTAAACTTGTGCTGTGGAGCTAAATGATGGTGTGAATTGTGTATCTTTTTAGAGGAAACTAATGGGGCCTGGATTATAGGTAGTGCTTGTGGTGCAGGTAGTCCACCGCTAGTCCACTTGTGGATGTTCACAAAATAAGGAACCATATATTGTTATTCTACTCACCTAACATGGGTAGTTGATGGATGCCTAGTCGTCTCTGATAAGAGTGAAAAACTTGAAGAGCTATTATGCATCTTTCTCTTCTTCTTGACTCCTGTTGTACCGTTTTGGATATTGAGGGAGATTCAGGTGCCTTTCTGGTCACCTCACTCATACAAATGTCCTAGATTTCCATTTTGTTCTTGTTCTGCCATATGCTGTACATCCATCTCATCTTTTGGTATATGTCATATGGGGTATGGCATCGCAATGCATTCTCTTTGATTGGGTGAGCTATTTGATTTGCTGCCGTTGTATGTAATTTAGAATTGGTTCTGTGCCAACATGTTCTCTTGTGCTTAATTTCTGATTTGATCTCTTTCATGTCACCTCTGCAGTCTTTCTTAGAATTGAATTGTAGGTATCATTGTGCATGCTGCATACAATAAAGGTCACTTTGCAGATGGAAATTATATTTTATTTTTTAAACAGATAGGTCATGCAGGTCCTTGTCCAGAAAAATGTTTTAAAATTGAAAAACCTATCTAAAACTATATTTATATCATGTGGGATTCTGGCACAGTCACATTAAGATTCTTGTCAATACCACAGAGTTGATACAACTATGTTCAGGTTCTCAGTGGTTTTTCATGCCACACTGAGATTTAAACACAGATATCAGTCTGGATGGCAGACCAACAAGGTAGATCCAAGATATGCCATTCAGCCGTCAAAGGAGTTTAGGATTGGGGCACCCTTACGGCAACACTAGCCAGGTGTAAGTAAGAGGGAAGGGGATTTGGAGACATTAAAAGAGGGGAGGTATCCATGTGCAGACTGATGATTTTAATTAAAAACAAACAATAGCAGTATTATCAGGAATTGATGAGGGATTGTAAGTGATAGAAGCAGAATAAAGCATTTAAATATGAGTTTGCCACTAAACAACAGCAGGGAAAACCCACATTTTCACAATAGTTAGAGAGAAAAAAAAAACAGTCAACACAAACTACTCAGAAGAGGTGTCATATATTGAGCTTCCCAGTTTCACAATAAAACATATGACTGAAAGAAAGTTTCTTACCCTTTCAATTGAAAATATTATAATTTATTCAGTTTCAAAATAAAATGTGTGCCCTTGTTTACTGTTGTATGACTTTATAATTATACCTATGTTTACAAATATAATTTGTTTTTTCTCAGGTGGGCTGAAAAAGCGTCTTGTATTTTGATCTTGTTATTTAGTATTTGAATAAATGCTTACACTGGAAGTATCCAGTTTATAAGTCTTCACATTTTTATGAGGAGTAATTGTCCCTTCACACATGAAGCTTCACAAATGTACATAACCGTGTTTATAAATAACAGCTTGTCAAGTGTGTGAGGGAGAGCTGTGTGAGAGAGAAGAGAGAGTATAATATTTTGTTATGCATTTACAATTAACATGTTGAATCTCAGCTTAATGTTAAGGACGGTTAACTTCACCAGTTTTCAGTGCTGTATTGAAATGTAATGTATAGCAGGAATGTTTTTGTAATCACAACATTTTGGTTCTCCCTGGGTATTGAGTGTATCTTTTTCAAAGAAAAGTATCAAGTGGTTTGGTTGTCTGGTCAGAATGAACAAAATCAGCCAGCTGCTAGAGCGTACCACATGAGGCAGTGGGCTACAAGGCAACAGGCTGACCAAGAAAGATATGAGTGGAGGGAGTAAAAGAGACATACAGAAACACAATATGACAATGATACAAGATATGCAACTAGCAAAAGACATGAAACTACATGTAACTCCTCTCTGCGATGCTTTATGGTATAAGCAGCAGGACAGATGGAGAAGAAAGGAGGACCTGTATCCTGCTGAGGAAATATGGCCAATGTAAACCTAATTTCAGCTAGTCTGCGAGATCACGACAGCTTGGTCTGAAAATCCATAAGAGAAAGACAAAGATAATGAGAATAAATGAGGCATATAGTAATGTGGTTTCTCCTTATGGTATCCCACTCCAAACTTGGTGTGGTACATCTATTTGGGCAGTAATGTAGATAAAGAGGGGGACTGATAGAGACATAAAATGTGAATACAAAAGGCAAGAGGAGCCTTCATAGCACTAGGAAATGTGTAGAGGTCAAAAGAAATTAAAACTATTATTAAACTGAAAATCTCTATTTCTAATGTCAAATCAGTACTGTTGTATGGAGCGTGAAAAATGGAGAACAACTAAGGCAATTAATAATAAACTACTAACATTAATTGACTTGTGCCTGCATAGAATATAGGGAATTCAATAGTATGGTAGAATCACTAACTAATGCAAAACTTTGGGAGAGAACTTATCAAGTTCCAGTGGACCAAGAGGTGAAGAAAAGACGCTGGCGTTGGATAGGACACATGTTGAGAAAACCTGAGAAGGGTATAACTAGAATGCACTGGAACCTACAGAGGCACAGAAATAAAGGAAGACCAAAAGCACATGGAGAAGGGAGCTAGAGAGCAAAGTTAAAAAGGTAGGAAGGACAAAATGTCTTTGCTTGAGTTGGTTTATAGCCTATGCTCCATTGGGGGCTAGGAAGGCAGAAGAAGACATTCTAATTAGCTTCTTTACAGATGTGTTTCAGTATCAGTTTTGTTCTGCACATCATGCTAGTTTATGAACATGGTGAGGGAAATGGGAATTCTGTAGCTCAGTACTTGTGGGTTCTGGGGCCCTGTTTTTTTTTGGGTGGGTGGGGGGTGGAGGGAGAATAGACCCACTGCTCCGCTAACATGCAAGTCACAAAAACTGACTAATTAGGAATATTTCCTTGAAAGTCATAGAGTGGCAAGGAACCAGAAGTCTGCTTACAAACAAACCAGATCTGTAAAACAGATGTGCACAAAACTCAAGTTCTGGAACAAGATTAAAGTCCAGAAGTGGGTGAACTGCCAGAACCTTCCACTAGAGTTCACAGTTCTTGAACATGAAGAAGAATAGTATGTGTGGGGATTCTGTGTTGCTGATGGATCAGAATAATGTCTTCACCAACCTCGCTGTGACAGATGCATGCCCCTTCAGGACTCACACAATCTGAACCAAGTAAAGGGCCCTGTCACACTAGGCTTATCTTCTTTTTTCTTTTGCTACATTGGGCATATGATGCTAGACCCATATTTTTATAGACTAGTTAGCCCATAGTGGGTAGCATGATCGACATCACACCCACTGCCTTGATTTCTTAGAACATTACATGGTATCCATTTTAAGGCCGGCCAGCTCCTTGGCAAATTGATAATCCAAGTTTGTATTTATATGCCATGCAGTATGTTGACCACTGTTGAGAATATTCTTTGATTCATTATAAAATATTTTGTTGAAAATTTGCCACGACTTCTATGTTGTTGTTTTTTTTTTGTACGCTTGTAGTAGTTGTTTCTAATCTTTACTCTGTGCTAAATGTAATTGGTTTGAGCTATCTGTACATGCTTTTTCTGTTCTTGGTCGCTGCATAATCTAATTTTTTCTTCTGTGTGGGTCTTATCAATGGATGACTTGACATGAGTTGAAAAGATATCCATCAGTGAACAAATTGTAAAAAAAATTTACAAGTTACTCGAAGCTCTGCTGACGGTGTTTGCTACTGACCGCTTTGAAAAAGTGTTCATCAGTGACGGCATTGACATGGTGCTCTCTGCGAAAATGTTGAAAAGGAGTTC